GACATGTACATGTTGGAGTGGTAAGGATCTTGCAGACAAAGTCAGATGTGAACTGCATGTAGTGAGGTGAGCGGGGGGGGGGGGGGGTATACGAAATTTGATTCAATTCCACACCTCCGTTGCATTAAGCTAGGCAAATATACACAGATAGAAAAAGGAGAACGAAAGTATCTGTCCGTGTATTCCGCTCTTTGCTTTCGACAAATTGAGCCCTCTACGGACGATGGATGAACTTCACATGGTAAAAGTAAAATACCGGTATATGTTTTTGTTTAATTAACTTGTTGATACCACTTACCGATGGGAGCCTCTGGATCGTATTGGCCTGTACATGGTGACAACGAAGAAAACGAGAACGGAGAGTTGTTAGAAAGTCTCCTTTTCCAGTGCTGTGCTGCTTGATCTGTTTACAACCCTTGTGACCAAAACCTGGCATCATTTTCTAAGCATAGCAATACTTGTCATATCGTACTGGAAATTGAAATTAGTGTGTGTGTGTGTGTGTGTGTGTGTGTGTGTGTGTGTGTGTGTGTGTATGCGTGTATGTGTGTGTGTGTGTGCTCTCAGCGGACTGCCGACTTTCCAATTTTGCCGTCGCTCGTCATTCCATATTGTCGGTCCCGCAAGGGGACACATGACCGTCATGGCAGTGTTTACCAGGACCAGGTGTGTGTGTGTGTGTGTGTGTGTGTGTGTGTGTGTGTGTGTGTGTGTGTGTGTGTGTGTGTGTGTGTGTGTGTGTGTGCTTGTGCTAAATCCAGAACTTTAGCTGTGACAGTTACCCATGTAGAAAAAGTCGAAAGCGTAACAGTCTTGTTTAGGCATTAGACACCCTTAGCAAACAATGGTAACGCTATTTTTTACGGTACTCGTACCTTGATCACCCAAATAGCGTTGAAGCTGCACCGTTTAAACGATATGGGGGCTGATTTATCGTTGTTACCAACGGTACGTTTTTTGGCCAAATATTGCATAATCTGTACTCAGTTCACCTTGTATCGCGTATATGGTGACATAAATGGTTGTACCGCGCGAACTAAAAGCTATTCTAGCGGCAACAGCGTACTAAAAATAGCGTGCATCTTGCTAAAGGTCGAGACCAAATCACGTTATTTTCCCCCTTACGGTAATAGAGAGGTTCCGCACTACGTAAAGTTGAGCAACTTTAAATTAGTGGGCGGGGAAAACCCGTGAATTCGCAAGTTTGCACTCCACTTACGGAAAGTTGTCTACGTAGAGTACGCAGATAGGGTTCTGATAACGTAGCTGGTCCGTAAGTGGATTGGGGTACAAATTTATGACTCTCTCCCCAGGTCGATCTGGTCGTACACTGCCGCGTTCGGAGTTGCCAAGGGCAGCTACGTGATTTGAAAACTCCGTATGGCGGAACGCAGATGCGCATGCAGTTTACGTAAGACTTTCCGTAGATCGACTGCGTTTTTTTACTAACGTAATTACGTTATGCGGAACCTCTCTAATACCGTTACAACATAACGTTGTTTGCTAAGGGTGTCTTGGCGGATAATGCTCGAAAAGGTGGCAGATTCTGCTCGAAAAGCAGTGAAATTGGCAGAACCATACAAACCTTATGGCGGGCAATTCCTCGAATTCTGCTCCATTTCTTTATCCACATACCAAACATGCATGAAACTTATCAGAAAAAGTACCGAATTCTGCCAATTTTTCTGCCGGCATTATCCGCAAAGATCTAGTCTTGGTTGCATCTACTCTAGCACTCAGTAGTACATGTACTAAAGACCACCGTGACTAGCGACCAGCCTGGTATTAAAGACCAACGTGACTAGCGACCGGCCTGGTACTACAGTCCGTTTCAAAAAGATTTGCAATCCTGGCGATCGCCCGCAGAGTTTGGCGTCTTACCGTATGAGCACTCGAGCGCTGCCTGGAAAAACTCACTGTGAACTCGAAGAAATATTCCGCGCAAAAGCAGGAAAACTGACAACTCACTCACGTTGATACAGTCATGTACGAGTACGTCTGGTTTACAACAAACGAGTTCTTCCTCGTATCGATAATGGAGTCAGAGAGGACATGTCGAAACGAAAGTGTTGTAAATGTTGACGAGCGGCATGTGTCCCAATTCGTTTTGTGACCAAAATAGTTTCTTTGAGCTGCGATGCAATTTACTCACCGTGTGACGAAAACGACATCGACACGGACTCATTCCCAAGGCCATGACTTGGCAAAGCTATCCATGTGACTTTGACGACATTTTGAGAAAAGCAGACGCTTGTGAACGCTGATAGAAGACGGCGTTGACTGCTAAATTCAAATAAATTGGCGATCTTGAAACTAAAATAAATCTCAAAAAGCTACAGCGCGATGACTTCCATATTCACTCACACCATTGCAGTGTTGTGGGTGTGTTCACATGGCGTGAGCCAGTCAAGTGTCAGTCAGTTCGGCAGGAAGCGCGAGCTTCAACAACAAGTCGTTTGGTGCAGCCATCTTCTTTGTCTTGCACCAGCTTGATCACCAAAACAATGACAAAAAAGTTTGACTTGAGGATAGGTTGGGATTTGAACTCACAACTTCATGGTCAGCAGACAGCATTCATAACCACAAGGCCAAAAAGGAAAGGATAAATCGTGGGTTTTGATAAGAAAATCGATACTGGCTTCCTGGGCAAATGGTAAACCATGGGAAAAGGCCGGAAACCTGGCCGAAATTCTAACTCCTTAACGGCTGGTCCAATTGGTCCGAAACCTTCACAGAACAATTTGCCGTGTCCTAACAAGCCATTCTATGTACTTTGTTGTCCAAATTTCCCTTATCTTCATACTTTTTAAGACCCAAACCTGATTGTAAATCTTTTTGAAACAGACTATAAAGACCACCGTGACTAGCGACCAGCCTGGAACTAAAGACCACCGTGACTAGCGACCAGCCTGGTACTAAGGGCCACCGTGACTAGCGACCAGCCTGGTACTAAAGACCACCGTGACTAGCGACCAGCCTGGTACTAAAGACTACCGTGACTAGCGACCAGCCTGGTACCAAGAGTACATAACCCCCCAGAGTGTGCAACGCCGATCCAGCTCTGTGTAGGGTCTTGGTCGAGCGGAATCGGATCTTCTGATGTCATGCGTACACTTCACACCAGCGCAAGGCCGGTCTCGAGGCAGGGCACCATTGTTTTTGATCCAAGAGTACCCGCGACTCCCCGGGTTCCCCCCAGATGTGTACGGTATTATGACGCAAAGATCCGATTCCGCTCGACCAAGACCCTATGCAGAGCTGGATCAGGCGTTGCACACTCTGGGGGGTTATGTACTCTTGCTGGTACTAAAGACCACCGTGACTTGCGACCAGCCTGGTACTACAGACCACCGTGACTAGCGACCGGCCTGGTACTAAAGACCACCGTGACTAGCGACCAGCCTGGTACTAAAGACCACCGTGACTAGCGACCAGCCTGGTACTAAAGACCACCGTGACTAGCGACCAGCCTGGTACTAAAGACCACCGTGACTAGCAACCAGCCTGGTACTAAAGACCAACGTGACTAGCGACCAGCCTGGAACTAAAGGCCACCGTGACTAGCGACCAGCCTGGTACTAAAGACCGCCGTGACTAGCGACCAGCCTGGTACTAAAGACCACCGTGACTAGCGACCAGCCTGGTACTAAAGACCACCGTGACTAGCGACCAGCCTGGAACTAAAAACCACCGTGACTAGCGACCAGCCTGGTACTAAAGACCACCGTGACTAGCGACCAGCCTGGTACTAAAGACCACCGTGACTAGCGACCGGCCTGGTACTGAAGACCACCGTGACTAGCGACCAGCCTGGTACTAAAGACCACCATGACTAGCGACCAGCCTGGTACTAAAGACCACCGTGACTAGCGACCAGCCTGGTACTACAGACCACCGTGACTAGCGACCGGCCTGGTACTAAAGACCACCGTGACTTAGCGACCAGCCTGGTACTAAAGACCACCGTGACTAGCGACAAGCCTGGAACTAACGATCACCGTGGCTAGCGACCAGCCTGGTACTAAAGACCACCGTGACTAGCAACCAGCCTAGTAGTGTGGTGCCCGAAGTCGTAGTCCTAAATTTGTTTGACATGGGCGAGCTGACAGGCGAGCCGGCACAACTGCTCTGCTCTCTGCCTGGTATTGAGCAAAATGTGGTTAGCTTGCTGCAGACTTTGAAAACTTTTGTCAGTGAGTCGAGAGACCGGGAGAGGTGCCTCCTACGACGCTTAGATGAGCTCTCTGCACAAATCGTGGAGTTGAAGGCGGAGGTTCGTGTCTCCTTTGAAAAGAAGTCCGCCATTACAGCCGTGGATTCCTCCTCGGAGCTGCCCGGCAGTACCCATACACTCAACAGCCAGCGTACACGCCGTACCCGTACCAAAGGCAAAGGCAACCATGCAAGCAAGCAGCAGCAGTATCTGCAGGATCAGGAAACAACTGGAGCGCACGTGGACGCCGTATCCCGTAGCCGCACTTTTGAAAAAGTGATCGAGGACAGTGGGCCCTCAGGCACGGAGTGCTCGGACGCAGATGACTTTCAGCAGCATGGAGGATGTCGATTCGGACACATGCCAGCCAAGCCTGTGCCCAATGCAACCCCTGCATTGGACTTGGAGGCTGGTGTATCCATATATGTTCTGCCTGTTGTACGCATTGCCCTTTTGCACTCGCGTGTGTACGCATACTAGTACACACATGCATCACGGTTTTCTGCCTGTCCTTTGCTATGGACAAGAAGTCTTTTCTCTTGGTCTTCTGAAAGATAAGTCACAAACCCTACCTCGTGTGTTTGCGTTTGTTGACACAACATGGCGCAGTGAACGTCTTACTTTACCTGTAGTCTTAGTATACTAGTAGTTCCATTGCAGTTGTAGAGTAGCCCACCTGTAGTGTTGCTCTCTGCCCGTTTTCGTTTCGCTTCGAAAATTGTCCGTTTCGAAGTTCTAGAATTTTTTCGTAGCCTTGTAGTACGATATCGATAGTTGTGATTTCGCCATGGCGGATGGTGCTAAGTCACAGCCGGACATCAACCAACTGGTGCAGCTGATCCAAGCTCAAGTGCAAGCATCTGCCCAGCGCGATGCGCAGCTCCAAACTCTGTTGCAGTCAATGTCGCAAGGATCATCAAGCAGCACGAGTGCACCTGCTTCGTCTGCTCCTGCTCCATCCACCAAGCTCGTCGCTGTGGATCGGCCCATATTGTTGTCGTCGGCGAATCTAGCTGAATTTGTATCGTGGAGCGAGGCCTGGGAGGACTACTCCCGGTGTCAGCTGTTGTCAGCGCAGCCCCGCGAGACAAGGATGGCCGCGTTTAGGCAGGCCTTGGATGAGGACCTGCGACGTTTCGTTCGTGAAGGTGTGATTGTGGTGCCAAACACCCATGATGTCCCGGAGGCCATGGTTGAACTACGCAAGTTCATCCGGCGCCAGCGCAACCCCCTGCTGGACAGGATTGAATTTTACCGCCGTGCCCAGCAACCTGGAGAGACGTTCGACGCGTGGTACACATCCCTGAGGGAGTTGTTTCATGCGTGCAACTTCTCCGGGTTGGATGTCTGTTCGACATGTTCAGGGCGTATGTGTCAAACATGCCAGCAGTCGCTCCAGGCTAACACGGATGAAATTCTGCGAGACCGCATTGTTACCGGCATCCTGCAGGATGACGTTCGACACAAGCTGCTGGCAATGAAGGATCTAACCCTGGCAACCTGCGTCGACCTATGCCGCGCCGAGGAGGCTGCCAGTCAAACCTCGTCACGTATCCCCAGTCAGGCCACTGGAGACGCGTCCGTGAGTGCCGTTCGTTCCAGCTATAAGAAGCAGAAAGGAATGGCATCCAAGCAAGCTCGAGCACCCGCAGCCAAGGATACCAAGTCTGGCAGCAAGCCCTCGCCGGACAAGTGTCCCAACTGTGGCCGCACCGCTCATAGCAAGCGACCCTGCCCTGCTGCGGATCGCAAATGCAATGGCTGCCAACGCACCGGTCACTTCTTATCCATGTGTCCGTCTGCTTCTAAGAGGACTGTCGGTCAGCTGAAGCTGCAACGTGCCGCGTCCTCCCGTGAAGGGGCTACCATAGCCGTCAACACGCAGCTCGTGTCTGCCGACAAGCCAACCAGTTTGCGCTGGCTTCCTGACACCGGCAGCGACATCAACGCTATTGGCCCTGCACACCTCGAGCTCCTCGGAGACTTTATTGAGAATCTGCCTACCGACAAGGATGTTGTGCGCACCGCTGATGGCGCACCCTTGACCAGTCTTGGCAAGATCCAGGCGACCTTGACGCTCGATTCCGTCACACACGACACCACACTGCACGTGTACAAAGGCCTGGATGAGGCACTGCTATCCCGCCAAAGCCTCTGTGCCTTGAATCTGTTGCCTGCTTCTTGGCCCTCCGTGTTTGTCCGTTCTGCCCGTACTGAACCCAACACGGCCCGGCAGCTCCAACAGCAGCTTCTGGAAGAGTTTGCCGACGTTTTCGACAGCTCACAGCTTCCACCAATGGATGGTCCGCCCATGGACATTCAGTTGGAACCAGGTGCAGAACCCAGCTGCGTCCGCACTGCTCGCACCATACCGTTTGCCTACCGGGATCAGATAAAGTCCCAACTGGACAGTATGGTCGATGATCGCATTATCGAGCCAGTCACAGAACCCTCTGCGTGGTGCCATCCAATCGTTCTCGTTGAGAAGAAGGGCACAACTGAGATGCGACTGACTGTGGACCTTCGAAAGCTGAATGATCAGGTACGCAGACCCACCCATCCTGCTCGTACACCACATGACGCAGTGGCAGCCATCGGCAAAGCCCGCTACTTCACGAAGCTCGACGCCCGACATGGCTATTGGCAAGTCCCGCTGTCCGACGATGCCAAGCCGCTCACCACCTTTATCACACCGTGGGGGCGGTACCAGTTTCTTCGCAACCCGCAGGGCCTTGTCTCGGCTGGTGATGTATTCAACTCCCGTACCGACGCAGCGTTTGATCGCCTCACCAACTTCGTAAAAGTGGTTGACGATGGTCTTGTGTACGATACGGAACTGACGACTCATTTCACCCACGTTCGTGACGCTCTGCTCCGCGCCCGTCAGCACGGCATTACCCTGAGCGCCAAGAAATTCGTCTTCGGCGTCCCAGAAGTCGACTACTGTGGCTACCACATCAACACGGATGGGTACACCGTTGACAGTGACAAGACGGCAGCCATCACTGATTTCCCAGTACCCGTTAATCGCACTGACGTCCGCTCATTCTTCGGGCTAATCAATCAGTGTAGTGATTTCTCGCCCCGTATCGCACAGCTCAGCGACCCGCTTCGCCCGTTGCTGAAGTCCACGAATGTGTTCCTGTGGGAGTCGGCACACACTGACGCGTTTAACGCCGTCAAAGCTGCCCTGGCTTCTCCCCCGATATTGTCGTTCTTTCAGCCTGGCCGACCGCTTCGGTTAGAAACTGATGCGTCCGTGAAGAACGGACTTGGTTATGTTTTGTGGCAGCAGCAGGGCGACACCTGGTGCATACTCCAATGTGGAAGCCGGTTCCTCTCTGATGCCGAGACGAGATACGCCGTCATTGAGCTTGAATGCCTTGCAGTTACCTGGGCAGTACGCAAGTGTTCGATCTATCTCTCCGGTGCTCGGTTTGAAGTTATTACCGACCACCGCCCGCTCATCCCTATTCTGAACTCCTACTACTTGGATCAGATAGAGAATCCCCGGCTGCAGCGGCTCGTCCTGAAACTTCGGCCCTATCAGCTACACGCAACCTGGCGGAAAGGCACGGATCATGCTTTCCCTGACGCTCTGTCCCGCCATCCAGTCAGCGACCCCTGCCCTGACGATGAACTGGGTGAGAGTACTGCCTCTCAGGGCGCTGCTATCCGTGTGTGCACGCTTGATACGTCTGGTGGCCTGAAGTACCACGCGCTCCGCTCCGCCGCCCAGGCCGACGCTGACTACCAGTGCCTAGTTCAGTTCATCGTGTCTGGTTTCCCTGCTAAGAGGTCCCTCATGCCTGAGTCACTCCAGCCGTACTGGAATGGTCACGAGCACCTCTCTATTGACAGTGGTTTAGTGATGAAAGGACCCCGTCTCTTGATTCCCGTCGCTCTCCGGCAGCGTGTCTTGTCTGATCTGCACGCATCCCATCAAGGATTGACGCGCACGAAGTCCCGTGCCCGGCAGATTGTATTCTGGCCACGATTGTCAGCCGACATCGAGCATGTTGTCCGCAGTTGTGACAAGTGCCGCCTGCACAGCGCCTCACAACCGAAGGAGCCACTCCGTGTGGACGATCGTGCTCCAGATCTGCCATTCCAGCATTGCAGCGCCGACCTGTTTGAGTGTGAAGGCCTGCAGTATCTAGTGTATGTGGACCGACTAACCAGCTGGCCCTGCGTTGCCAAGCTCGGACGCACTGCCTCCTCTGCAGACGTCATTCGGTCTCTTCGCCGCTGGTTTCCTGACATTGGTGTCCCCGAGGTACTTACCAGTGATGGTGGCCCTCAGTTCCAGTCCCATGTGTTCGCTAAGTTCTGTGATACCTGGCACATCCGTCATGCTAAATCCTCTCCCCATTATCCGCAGTCGAATGGGCTTGCCGAGAATGCCGTGAAAGCCATGAAGTCGCTAATTCACAAGACCACTAGTAATGGCGACCTCGACGTGGATTCCTTTCAACGTGCGTTGCTTGAGTGGAGGAATACCCCGAACGCCACTGGTCAGAGTCCTGCCCAAGCTCTCTACGGCCGGCCTCTGTCGTCTTTTGTGTTTGCCCACCATTCCAGCTTTGCTCCTGCATGGCAAACACACGCTAATGAAGTTGACCAGCGCTCATCACACTACCTGGAGTCGACTCAGCAGCATTACAACCGCTCTGCTCGGTCCCTTCCTCGTCTGTCTCTTGGAGCACATGTCGACATCCAGCATCCCCGGACCAAGTTGTGGTCAGCTCATGGCTCAATCGTAGCCATTGGTCAGCACCGGGACTACTTGGTGAAACTTCCAAGCGGCCGCATCTATTGGCGCAACCGCCGTTTCCTCCGACCAAGAGTCTCTCCTACACCCCCGCCAGCTGCAGCCGTCCCTACTGTTTATGCTCCAGACGCGGCACAAGGCCAGACACCAGTTGCCTCTATTGCCCCTGGTGTACATGCCCCAGCACAGCCTGCACCACGCCGCAGTCATCGCCATCGGCAGCAGAATGTCCCGTTTAATGTGATATCCACACGCGGACAATCTTATGACTGATGACTTTGTCCTCATTCTGTTTCTGCTCTTCTGCCGGACCTATGACTGTTGCTGTTACTTATGCACTTCATTGCTGCTGTGTTTTTTTTGTTTTTGTTTGTTTTGATCAGATAAATATGTCTTTTATCTCAGAAGGGGCGTGGTGTATCCATATATGTTCTGCCTGTTGTACGCATTGCCCTTTTGCACTCGCGTGTGTACGCATACTAGTACACACATGCATCACGGTTTTCTGCCTGTCCTTTGCTATGGACAAGAAGTCTTTTCTCTTGGTCTTCTGAAAGATAAGTCACAAACCCTACCTCGTGTGTTTGCGTTTGTTCACAACAGAGGCCATCCAGGGTGATTCTTGGCAGTTGGTGGCTCAAGAGCCTCGCCGCAAGAAGCGAGTAGTTGTCTTTAGTGGCAATCTCAGTGCCCAGTGCAATGACCAACGGCTAAGCGAGTTCATCACAACATGCTCCACCGCAGTACACCAGACAGTTGCAGTTCATGATAGCAGTGTCCGTGAAAACAAGAAGGGAATGATGACAGGAAGAGTATCTCTTGATGCTGATGCCCTCCCCACAGTCACCTCTGTAAACCTTTGGCCTAGACCACTGTATGCGAGGGACGGTGGACATTCCATGAAAAACGTCACGGGCCAGTGCCAGGAAAGGGAAATGGACAGTCTGTGCTGTCGAAGAAGTCAGCCAAGGACTCAGCCACTCACAGCTCCGACCTGACACCATTGCCTCCCGACCGTTGTTGTTGTTGTAGAAGTTTATTTAACGTCGCACCACAAACAGGCGATTTCGCCTCCTTTGATACATGTGGACGACAGGAGGAATAAGAGAGAGTGGAAGGGCAGAAATAAATACCGTAGTTCTGCGCATATAAGCCCACGGGCCTATATCCGAATATAAGCCCACCTCCGTTTATAGGCCCATGGGCTAATAAACAGACCAAAACACCGTTACGGACCCGTTTGTCAAGTTTATTTTCGCAATACTGGTACGAGCTGTTCTTGTTGATGAGCCAGAAAACAAGAAAGTGGAGGGTTAAAAAAACCAATAGTACAGCATGTCAGTGCAGACTACATTACCAGTACCGGTACCTACAGTAGGCGGACAACCGCGCACGACTTGTACCTTTTCGCGTGCCAGCTGCCTTCAAAATTCGAATATAAGCCCAGGGCTAAAAAACGAACCATTATTACTGATTTTTTTCCCCGGAAAATGCATTATTTCGTATAGTAGCCCATGGGCTTATATGCGCGGAACTACGGTAAGCAAATCAACCTCAGGGCTACACCAGAGCAAAAACGGAATGGGAACATACTATCTACAAAATAGCTTCATACATATAATATTGCAAAACACGTTTACTATTCTTCAGTCCGCTATACCACAGAAACACCTACATTGTTCCTCGTGTACGTAAACGACATTTCAAGCTGCTTGTCGCATGGCACAAACCTGAACACTTTTGCTGATGATACAACTTTGTACTCCCTCCTTGACCAAGCCTCGAATGCCTCACTACAACGCAGCCTAGATGAGCTTCATGCCTGGGGCAAGAGATGGAAGATTGCGTTTGAGCCATCAAAATCGCAAACGATCACTCTGTCGCACCAGCGGAAGGATACAGTGCCTCCCCAGCTGTCATTTGGCGGAACTCCTCTCCCACCAGATGAATCTGTGAAGGTGCTCGGAGTGACGTTTGATTCTAAACTGAGCTACAGACTCCACCTTCGGCAAGTGGCATCACGTGCTAAGCAGCGGCTGGGCCTCCTGCGGAAGGCAGCACCCCTCCTCAGCCACGCGGGCAGGGTGACTGTTTACAAAGGATTCGTCCGGCCAATGCTGGAATATGCCCCCCTTGCGTGGATGGGATCAGCCCCCTCACACCTGGCCATGCTGGATGCTGTCCAGCTCCGCGCCCTAAATGTCATTGGTCCTGGTACGATTCTTCCCAGCCTCCTTGTTCGGCGAAAGGTCTCTGCTCTCTGCCTACTGTACAAACTGATGTGTGGCCATGGTCTGCCTCAAGTTGCAGCCATGTGTCCCCCGCCGGCTATACCGCCACGTCATCGCTGCACTCGAGCAGCCCAAGCACAGCACCATCCCCTCCAGCTTGAGCTGAATCTCTCGCCACGAGCTCCTGATTACCTTCTGCGCTCTTTCCCATACTGCATCGTGCCAGTGTGGAATAGACTGCCACAGGCAATTCTGGACAAGAAGCCAACCCGGAAACACCTGCAGAGATTCAAGATTGCTGCATACCGTCACCTGCAACAGAGTGACTGGTGCTCTGCTCATGACTGGTGCTAGCCATGCACATCTATCACACTGGCCTGCCATCAGTGGACGCAAATCATTATGTTGACCCTCTTCTCAAAGTAGCATTATAGTCATAGCGACGATATGCCGCTGAACTCTTTCTCTCTCTATACTTATATCTCTCCACCTCTTTCACGCTCTTTCCCTCACTTACCCATCTCTCTCTTTCTCTCTCTCTCTCTTCTTTCTTGTGCCCTCTCTCTCTCCTTCTCTCTGTCTCTCTCTCTGTCTCTCTATCTCTGTCTCTCTGTCTCTCTCTCTCTCTCTCTCTCTCTCTCTCTTTCTCTGTCTCTCTCTCTGTCTCTCTCTCTGTCTGTCTGTCTCTCTCTCTCTTACTCTCTCCCCTCTCTCTCTCTCTCTCTCTCTCTCTCTCTCTCTCTCTCTCTCTCTCTCTCTCTCTCTCTCTCTCTCTCTCTCTCTCTCTCTCTCTCTCTTACTCTCTCTCTCTCTCTCTCTCTCTCTCTCTCTCTTCCTCTCCCTCTCTCTCTCTCTCTCTGTCTCTGTCTCTGTCTCTCTCTCTGTCTCTCTCTCACTCTCTCTCTCTGTCTCTCTCTTACTCTCTCCCTCTCGCTCCCTCTCTCTCTCTTACTCTCTCTCTCTCTCTCTCTCTCTCTCTCTCTCTCTCTCTCTCTCTCTCTCTCTCTCTCTCTCTCCGCCATTCCTCTCGCCCCCCTCTCCCATGGTGCTTGCTGTGTACGCCGATCCCGAGACCCTTGGTCGGGGGAGTCCACTGCATCTCGCCAGCGCAGCTCATGTAGCGCCTACACACTTTTTTGTTTCGTCTTCGTTTTGTCTCCCCCTTCTTCCGTAGGTATGTGCAATGTGATTTAAAAAAAAAAGCAAAAAAAACAACACTAGCCGAAAAGCATTTAAACGGAGCCATGATGCGCTTTTAGCAGGGTACAGAACTGAAGGTGGCTGGGCTCGGAACGGAAATCAGACGGGAGCTGGTTCCACAGGACTGCGCCGATGAACTGCATGGTCGCTCGACCCGCAGGACCGGGCCAAAATGGTACTCGAACGAGGTGATGTGCTGCTCGCCAAGTGCGGTCACCAGTAACTTTGACGAAGACGCAGGTGAAGGCCCCTCTATATAAATGTACCCCCCTTCCCTCACCCTGTGCCTACTCCTCCCCCGTTTTTGGTGCACTGAAGTGTCGCTGAAGCCGAGATCTCAGGTCGGCGGAGATGCTCCAGTTTCACCACCACAGTTGCGTCTGCAACCACCTCTATCATGGAGTATTCTGTTCTCGAGGTTTGTGGTTTCTCGTAAAAAAAAAAGACGCCAGGGTGAGGCTTCGGCGGCTCCGCCACAGCGCACCTACTGACTTCCGCACCTGCTGGATTGTTGTGTGATTGACATGAGGCTCCCAGGAGAGCTGCCCATCTACCATTACGCCCAGGTCCGCAAGCGGCGGCATGGGGATTCACCTGACTCCGGCAGCCCATTGATCAAGAAACTGGACGAAAACCACCAGCAGCAAGAGTCTGCCGAGCAACAACAACTGAATGCAGACATGCCAGCAATCATGAAGCTCCTCCTGACCAATGCAGGCGGGCTGCTGTCCAAGTTCGGAGAGTTTCAGCACGCCCTGTTGCTCTCAGCAGCGGCCGTTTTTTGCAATAGTTACTGAGACGAAACTAACAGTGGATAAATGCTCTCACAGTGCATCTATGATCCCGGAATACTGTGGTCCGATTCGCCGAGACCGAACAGAACACGGAGGTGGCATTGGAGTCTGGATCAAAGCCGGCATCGCGTACCAGCATCTGGATCAGTACCAGTCTGCTGAATTCGAAACAGCCTGGCTCACCGTTGGCCATTTCAACAGCAAAACTTTCATAGGTGCAGCCTATCGCCCTGGTTCCTGCGCTGACAATGATCTGGCTCTACTCGAGCACTTAGACCAAAACATAGATACCATGCGGCAGCATGGTATTAAAGCACATGATTCTGGCTGGAGATTTTAATGTTCACAGCACGTCCTGGCTTGGCAGCTCTCGAACGACAATCGCAGGGGAGTTCTTGGAAGAAATCAGTGCAACACACTGTCTTGTCCAGCACGTGACCCAGCCAACCCGTGGGCCAAACACATTGGATCTCGTCTTGTCCGACTTTCCTGGCACTGTCCACACAGCAGTATCATCTCCCATCGGGCGCTCGGACCACTGTGTAGTATTGTCCAACTTTCAGGAAATCACTCCTGTACTGGAGCGGCCAACAAGCAGGAAAGTATAGCGTTATGGCCAAGCAGACTGGGGCAGACTGAGGGCAGACTGAGGGCACATTTCCGCAGCTTTGACTGGGCTGCTGTCGTCTGCGATGACCCCGAACTTGCAAGTGACCAACTCCCAACTGGAATTCTGGATGGAATGGGCACGTTTTTACCATCTAAGACCCTGACAGTACGGACGACAGACCCTTGTTGGTGGACACCTGAGTGCAGCACTGTAGTTCAAGCAAAGACTCGTGCGTGGAAACGGTGGCGTCAGCACCCCGATGATGGAGATTTGCGAGCTTCATTTATTGACCTAGTGGCCCGTACAGCTGTTATTTTGCTGCGCGCCCAGTCATCACAAGTCATGATGCTCGTGTCAAAGCTGAGCACAGCGCAGGCTCACTTAGCGACAAGCAATGGTGGTCCAACATGAAGAGAGCTGCTGGGATGGAACGTGCCTCTGAGATACCTCTTCTGAAGGACACCGACGGCACAGAGTATCCAACTCGCCAAGCCAAGGCCAATTGCCTCGCCAGGTACTACTCCCAGAAGTGCAGCCTTGTAGATGATGACATCCCTCCAGACGAACTGCCAGAAATGCAGCATTTGGACCGCCATGGTCTTGACAACATCCATTTCCGGCTTGCTGATGTAGCCGCCGTTTAGCCAAGCTGAATACATCGAAGGCAACAGGACCTGACAATATTCCAGCAAGAGTCCTAGCTCAGTGTTCCAGTGAGCTTGCAGAGCCAGTCACCGAACTGTTCTCGCTCTACTTTCGCCACGGTATTCAGCCTACCAAATGGAAGCTGGCCCATGTGGTTCCAGTCTTCAAGAAGAGCCCCGCTCGGATCCCAAGAACCACCGGCCAATCTCACTACTATCCATCCTGTCAAAAGTAATGGAGAGTATAGTAAACAAGCAGCTCGTGAACTATCTGGAGCGTTTCAATATTCTGCCCGACAGTCAATATGGCTTTTGGCAAGGAAGAGGCACGTGCGACATCCTCACTGCTTTGCACACTGAGTGGGTCAGGACTGTCAGCGATGGAGGGTACGCTCAAATGGTGGCGGTGGACATAGCAGGAGCATTTGATCGGGTATCACACTCTGGACTGATTTTCAAAGCCAAGAACTTTGGCATTGGTGGCTGCCTGCTGCACTGGCTGCAGGATTACCTCCTGAACCGCACACTATCAGTCCTGGTCCACGGCGACTCATCCTCCCCGGCGCCCATAACAGCAGGTGTGCCCCAAGGCAGTATCCTTGGCCCGACACTTTTCTTCTTGTATGTGTCTGACCTGGGTCAGTGCCTATCTCCGGAGACACGACTAAGTTCCTTTGCAGACGACACAACCCTCTACAGCCTCATCCGCACGCAGGACAATATGAATGACATGACTGCCGCCTTGCAATCCAGCCACAAGCGTCTTGAAGAGTGGGGAGAATGCTGGCGCATCAGATTCGAGCCCTCTAAATCGCAACAGCTACTGATGACTACGAAAGCCACACACCCTGCTGTCCCTGACATCCAGTTTGGAGGTATCGCGGTTCCGGAAGCCAACACCATCAAGCTTCTTGGAGTGACATTTGACGCCAAGCTGTCATTCCGGGATCATTTGCACTCGATTGCGACACGTGGCTGCCAGAGACTGGGTGTTCTCCGTCGGGCTTGCCATGTGTTACATTACCATGGCCGGCTTTGTGCGTACAAGGGATTTGTGCGACCTATCCTTGAGTATGCTCCCCTTGTGTGGATGGGAGCTGCATCCAGCCACCTCGCCTGACTCGACCGTGTGCAGAAACGTGCAATGGCCATTATTGGCCCTGGTGCCCTTCTCCAAAGCCTGTGCCACCGCCGAATTGTATCTGGGCTGGTATACCTGTACAAGCTCCAGTGCATCCCAGGACCACCCCAGCTCACCGCCATGATCCCCCTCGAGCCAACCATATAGAAGCTCGGCGCACCCGGAGTAAACCCTGACCAGCAGCACCATGTGCAGCTGCAACAAGTCCTGGACAGGAGAGCACCTGCCTATGCTTCTCGCTCCTTCCCGTTTTCTCGGTATGGAACAGCTTGCCAAGCGAAATTGTAAGGGCTCCACTCACCTTGAAACGGCTCCACACGTTCAAAGAGGATGTCCATACCGGTAAGTACCTTACGCACCAACACTGGCTGATGGCTACCGACTTCTACAGATGAACTCTTGACTGTGGCACGGGTCATGTTCCTTGGTTCGGCTATGCTGATGATATTGGGCTTCATTTACCTTTTATTATTAGTTTGTTTTGTTTGTTATGATTTCTTGGTTTTCCACTCGGTTTAGTTATAATTTAAATTATTATTTGGTGCAGCTTTAGCGCTATGTGGTTTATGATTTTTACTTTTTCTTAATTTCGTATTTAGCGCTTTTGGGCATCATTATTTTCTTCTCATTATTTTCTTCTCATTATTTCGCACCAAGTTATTATTTTTGTGGTATTATCTAGCTTCTGTTTGTTTTGCAGTTGTTCTTGTGCACCCCCCCCCCCCCCCCCAGAGTGAGCCCACACCCATTTTTCGATACCTAGTTGCAACGCTGACGCCGAGACCTCTGGTCGGTTGAGTTGCTCCCAGCACATCAGCACGTCGTCCCTACATCCCCTATGTTTTGTCCTTTTCCTCGTTTCTTTTTGTTCTCCACCTGTTTTCCAGTAGGGCTGTGTCAATAGTAAAAAAAAGAAAAAAAGACTGGTACTAAAGACCACCGTGACTAGCGACCAGCCTGGTACTAAAGACCACTTTCTTCGCCATTCACGGACGACCTCACACTCATACATGGTTGGGCGGTGCAAACCTCTAACTAAGGACCAGCTGCCATTAAAGACCGCTTTCTCTGGCCCCAAGGGGTGGTCGTTAATCACAGGTTCACTGTATTAGGACATGGAAGCAGTGTCAATGCTACTTCTGAGGAGGAGTTCACACAGTACAGCAGGGCATTATAGTCTGAATGAGTGGCTAGAGGGAATTTCCATTATGAATAATTATAGTGCAGTAATCTAGCCGAAGCCATTAGAGATTAGAATGAAGCAGAGTACCGTACAATGAATAGACGGACACTCTGCTAGCGTGTGGAGAATCTACCTCATGCAACTACGCAGGGCTGGAAGAAGGACAGACTTGTACACTTCACTCACCTGCTGGTGCACCTACGGTATATGTTCCAAGAAGGGTGTTCTCTGTAAAAGAAACAAAGAGCGAAAATTTAGAATCTCCACTATGAAGATGATAAGCATTGTAGTCAATACCATAACGAGAGAGCTTGAAAGCTCAGGGCCCTACGCTATGCTTTTATACCTTTTTGCCTAGCTGATCGTACATGTTATTAGAACAGAAGGATATGTTTTTTTTCCGTTGATTGGCCACATCAATAGGGAGGTTTCGCTCTACGGAATTGCGTATGAAAATAACGTAGGAACTGCACGGAATTTTCATACGTAAAAATCAGAGCTGTTGGGTTTCGCTCTACGTGATTTCTCCACGACTGCTAAACATGCGTTGTTGCTTTGGAGACGCGTTGGCTGCATGCGCCCGCCGCATGCACCATGAACCGAAACCACGTTTCCCTTTATATTTTGCACGTGTTGTACGGTGTGTGTACCTTGTGTTTCGCGCGGCTTGAACGTTGCCATGGACAAATGCGGAAAATGCGAAAAAATACTTCAAAAAGTCCTACGGAGGATCTATAGAACCTAACGTAGGAAACAGCTTTCCTACGGAAATCCGTAGAGAGATTTACGTATGAAAGTTGCCCTCGCTCCCCAGCGTGTACGACATACGGATTTATATACGTAGTTGCTGTCTGATGATCGGTTAAAACCGTGAAACTCAGAGTTACAGAAGAAACGCTTTTCGTCCCTCTCAAGTGTGTATACGTAATTACGTAGAGCGAAACCTCCCTATTGTATTGCAAAAACGTTTCAATCAGTTTGAATATGAGTTAGGCAAAACTATTTGCAGAATTTATTGCGGATTGTTATTTCCCTAATATCATCTACTTTTGGTTTGCTTCTTTTCTTTTTATCTCCTTATACTGTAAATCAATCAATTTTGGCCGATGAGAAACTTTGGCCGATGAGAAACGAAACGTTTCGCCGTCATTAAACTTTGGCCGATTGTAGTTTTCAAAAAGAAATCGATCGGCATGTTTTGCTCTCACATGCATCCATTGCTCAATCATGCATCATTTGCCTCTATGACAAACTTTGGCCTGCGATTTACTTTGGCCGGTTGGTACCAAGCGGCGAAATCAGTGAAATGAAATCGCCAGCGAAAATTAGTTGATTTTAATACAGTAATCGGATTTTCTGGCCTTTTGTAGTAATACATTGACCTGTTGAGACAATGAGGACGCCGAATGCATGGTTGCCTGTGGAGCACATTACATAACTTTACAGTCTCCTACAATATGTATCCTGTCCGACGGCAAAAGAGGCTGCAGATTTAGTTTTTCTGCGCGTCGTCGGGATGTCTGTCCTGACGTTTCCTGGGACCGGCGCTGACTCTGCCGATGACGGGCGTTCTGGACTCGACGGGATGTCTGTCCTCACGTTTCCTGGGACCGGCGCTGACTCTGCCGATCACGGGCGTTCTGGACTCGATGAGATGTCTGTCATGACGTTTCCTGGGACCGGCGCAGACTCTGCTGATCACGGGCGTTCTGGAGTCGACGGGATCTCTCTTCCGACGTTTCCTGTGACTAGCGCTGAATCGCTCGTTAAAGGGGAAGTGCATCGATTTTTCAAGTAGGGCTCAGATGAAAGACAATTGGATATCGGTTCCGATGGTATATCTCTCGCTTGCTTACGGCAAGGGAAACTTGCCATATCGCCGATTTCCTGATCCCGTTTCCATGGCGACTACAGCTGATGACGCACATTCTGCTTAGCTTCGTGAGAGAGAAGGTCGATCATTGAAGAATTGTGTCATTTTCAGTTGTCTTCTTGTATTCACGAAGTGAAAGAAGTACTGTGTTCAAGGCTGTTAGTGCCGTGAACTGTTTATTAGTAGTCCTCTCCGTTGTGGAGTGGGACGTGACACCGACAGGGGAAAGCTGGAGTGCGGAGACGTTAGCTGGCAAGCGAAAATCGTGACGAACCAAGTGCTGAAATCTTGGTTGGGACAAATCAAACGTTCAGCATTTACCTCAACCAAGGACCATGCCGTTTGCTCTTTCCACTTCCTGAAGATGGATGCGCTGCCTGCTGGAGACTCTCCTATCTCTCGTAACATCTTCTGAAGCCAGGTGAGACGACGAGTAGCGGAGATTAGCGAACGAAATAATGTCGTATGTTTTGAAATTTTTGCTGAACATTTCTCAGGAGGGATGGCGAATACCAAGCATCTTCTCCAAGTCTAGAGAAACCATTTCGTAGGCTACATTCCGCCTAGGGAAATGCAGGAGATGGCCTGGCTGGGGAGGACACACTTGGAGGAGAACGAAGTAAGTGATCTTTTTATGTTGTTCTTTTGTATTGCAATCTTATGTTTGACGAACATACGGCATGGTGCATAGTTGGTCGTTGAGTGCCTGCATGTGCATGTATAAGTGTGTGCTGATAAACACTTCCTATGCAAGAATCTGACACTCATGCTCTCTTTCTTTCTTGCAGTATGTGCGCACGTGTGTGTGTGTGTGTGTGTGTGTGTGTGTGTGTGTGTGTGTGTGTGTGAGAGAGAGAGAGAGAGAGAGAGTGTGTGTGTGTGCAGGAGCAGCGTGGAGCATGCCAGTGTGATCGCTGTGGCCGTTGCTTTCTTAGCTGTGGTGTTCTTGCTCGTCACAAGTGTGTGGCTCAGCCCCCAACGACAGTGGAGCCGTGTTGTGGTGAATACTGTGTGTCCTGCGACCGCTGCTTCCGTTTGGTCCAGGGCAGGAATAGACACCGCTGCTGAAGCTTTCCCCGGCCGTACGTCAGTCTCGTGACAGATGACCCGAACTCTCATTTTGTGTGTGTGTGTGTGTGTGTGTGTGTGTGTGTGCGTGTGTGTGTGTGGTGTATGTATATGTACGTGTGTTGCTCCCTACGTAGACAAACTCTTGTTTTTGTGTCCCGGGCGCCATGGGGCGGCGTTCTCCCAATCTCTCTCCAGGCCCACGTGGCAGTGACTCGACAGGGCAAGTGTGTGTATGGTGCAGTTTGTGTGCTGGCATGTCTGTATAAATATGATGGACAGGAATTTGTTCACTCACAACGTTCACGAAAAACCATGCTAGGAGTTGCTGGAACGTATGGAGTCTGCGAGCACTTACAATAACTTACGTCATGTCACAACAAAGAACGGTGCAGTGTTTGACCCTCATGTAAACATGATGGTGATGGTACCTCACCTAAGCTACCCATGAAGCTAGAAAGAACATCAGGTCAACAGAATTGTACCATAGGAAAGCATCTATTGCCCGAACTTCTTCATTTGAAATGAACAATACCCTTCTCCATAGAGACAACATGCAGATGATGTGTATGGACAAATAATATAAAAATAGGCCATTCACTGAGGGCATGGAATGATCTCTACGTGTAGATTGGATAGACACATGCACGTTTGCAAGGAAAGCATTGGTTCATGGGTTAGTTCATGGGCTGATTGAGTTCACACGGACTAAGTTCATACATGCCATCTCTCCGGAGAAATGTTCAGCAAAAATTTCAAAACATACGACATTATTTCGTTCGCTAATCTCCGCTACTCGTCGTCTCACCTGGCTTCAGAAGATGTTACGAGAGATAGGAGAGTCTCCAGCAGGCAGCGCATCCATCTTCAGGAAGTGGAAAGAGCAAACGGCATGGTCCTTGGTTGAGGTAAATGCTGAACGTTTGATTTGTCCCAACCAAGATTTCAGCACTTGGTTCGTCACGATTTTCGCTTGCCAGCTAACGTCTCCGCACTCCAGCATTCCCCTGTCGGTGTCACGTCCCACTCCACAACGGAGAGGACTACTAATAAACAGTTCACGGCACTAACAGCCTTGAACACAGTACTTCTTTCACTTCGTGAATACAAGAAGACAACTGAAAATGACACAATTCTTCAGTGATCGACCTTCTCTCTCACGGAGCTAAGCAGAATGTGCGTCATCAGCTGTAGTCGCCATGGAAACGGGATCAGGAAATCGGCGATATGGCAAGTTTCCCTTGCCGTACGCAAGCGAGAGATATACCATCGGAACCGATATCCAGTTGTCTTTCATCTGAGCCCTACTTGAAAAATCGATGCACTTCCCCTTTAACACCTTTTTCTGGAGACGACGGGATCGCTCTTCAAAAGTATGTTTTTGCTGACGCATCCTATCACCTATTCGGCGTCTATTCTAATTTATTTTCCTCCTCGTCTCCCTTTTTCTTTCCAAATCTCCCTCTACATCAGGGAGTCCAATACAGTCAGACCTCGCTTATCCGGTCCTCTTTTATCCGGATACCTCGCCATCCGGAAGAAAATCACTGGTTACGGATTTACAGCATATGCCATGCATACATACAGTGTGTGTGTTCGATTATCCGGTTCCCTCGCCTATCCGGATATTTTTGTGGAAAACGGATGTGTGCGGTTAAGCGAGGTCTGACTGTACATGATACGACCAATATTGGTACGGTAAGGGACGGATACGGGAGCCAGCAAATATTGTGGCCAGCTGTTATGTACAATTCTGTAGAGCATTTGTAGTCACAGATACGGGACAGATACGGGATATATACGGGACAGATACGGGATAGCTCCAGGCGTGACACAAACAAACAAACAAACAAACAAACACCAAATTAAAGCTGTGTGGACCCTGGCTAGCGCCAGACGTTACTGAAGTACTGACGTTCTGCATGGCTACGGGAATAAAAGCAATTGGCTGTCAAGAAAATGCAGGAAGGTGAATGAAATTCGAAAATTGATCACATTGAAGAGCCTGTTCGGTGGGTTCATTACTGTGGTGGAGGTTTCGGAAAATAATGCCACAGCCGTCGAGGAGCCAGACAGTTGACCCGGTGTCAGGCCTTATCCTATGATGTGGACATGTCCTAGGTCTTTAGAAGCGAGCAAGAGGAGTGAGGCTTTCTGCAGGTTTCATACATGTGTTTTGAAAATTTTAGGGAATTTTTAAGGCTTACCCAGAAGTTTGAATTGCCGAAAAATACTGTCTATCGAGCAAGCACAGGTGGTTTCTTGCAGGTTTGCCAAGTCGAAGGTTCAATGGAAGTGTGCACTGGATGGCAGTCGTGAGTCAGTCAAGTGTCAAGTCAGTCATTGGAAAGGGGCAACCGCCAGTGTTGGCAGCCGCTTTGCCCACATGCTCCGTGTATTATTGGGTACTGTATAGGGACAAAATCATCCCCCATTACATGTATTTGTACATGTATGCAGGGGCGTGTGAACTATTCTGTTCATTAGCCATCCACTTGTTTGCTATCTTCACCTTACAGCCTCCCATTGCAAACAAAACTCCAGGAACTGCCTTCATTTTTAGACACTGTCACTGGGACATCTTCTGGGGATAGGGACAAAAGCCATTGCCCCCCCCCCCCCCTCACTTGTTTGGCGCTAGTCCGCACACTGGTGTATTTTCTCTTTGATGTAGGCAGGTGTAGTGGGATGGTCTAAGGCCATGCTTGAGAAACAGCGGGTGCCAGGTTTAAGTCCTGCCTAGAAGCAGAAGAATCAGAGAATGGGATTTTCGGTATGGACCCTAGCCGAGTCTGACGCGAACCGTGAAAAAACAATCGAAAGTAGCTTGAGTCATCTGTCTGCTCTTGTCTTACACGAAATCCCTGGTCGCTGAAATTTCAATCTTGTAAATACTGGCAACAACAATACCACACCAATGATCAGTAGACCATACTTACTGGCGCACATCTTGTCCAGAGGGATAGAGTTGACGTTAGACCAGCCGTAAATGCCGTTCCTGAAGGTACACTTCGCGAATGCGAAAGCTGTGCGTTCGTATCCAGCGGGACATGTTGCTGGAACGGTGTCGCCATATTGTGCCTGCGCAAATGTTCCATTCTCGAATGTGTAGGTGAGGCATACTATTAGCAATTCAGAAGTACAAAATAAGTCAGGAGCATTGGTCAGGTCAAACAACACACACACACACACACACACACACACACACACACACACACACACACACACACACACACACACACACACACCATGTACCATGTATACGCCCGTCACATGAGAAGCACGCAAATCTGCAAATGCACTGGATGTGCACCCACAGATTTTCTCTTTATAGCAACGATAGCGGATCTGATTCTGATTGAAACAGATCAAGACAAGCGCCAGGTAACTGTCTAATCCACACAACTGGATGTGAATACACACACACACGCACACACACACACACACACACACACACACACACACACACACTTAACCCCTGTAGCAGTGTACTTCAGTGTATTCTGTGAACGCATGCCTCGCATGGAAACCTCTTTTGAATACAAGCCTGATTTGCAAGATGTACCGTAGGCTAATGTCTTATCCACCTCCACCGAAGTCACAAAAACTCAAAGATTCTGAGTTGGTACTCACCAGTACCATTGTGCTCTGACACCAACCACATACATAAATTCACTCAGTGTTATTAAAATAGAAGAAATCACATGGAGACCAGTTATGAAGCAACTATCCACGACTGTAACAAGATAATAAGCAGTCAGAAAGTGCGATAACAGGGCACAAAAACTGTGTTGGGCAAAGTTTTGGCAGGAGCTGATTGTAAAGTAACTGGTGGTGTTAGTGGAAATTACAGCATATCTTGTAGTCGTTGAATAAATCTGTAATACTCTCGGGTGGAGAGCCAAGGATAAATCTATAGAAAAGAAAAAGAACCAAGGGACTACGTGTACACGGCGTGCTTGAGCTGATAGCCAGTTTGTTGCAGAACGTCAGTACCGTCGGTCAGTGTCGTGCAATGTTATCGCATGAGCTGATTGTTTAGTAACTGGTGGTGTTAGTGGACATTATAGCGTAACTTGTAGTTCCTTTTTTCCTTTCTGTTTTCTATAAATGTAATGTTGTTTTAAAATTAACTCGTTGATACAACTTACGGACGGTGTCCTGAGAGCGGTCGGTGGTGCCTGTAAGTGATGGCGAACGGAGATAAAACTCGAACGGCTGCCCTGCACAATAAACAGAAAAAATAGAAAGATGTCTGGTGCCTGCAGAGCTTGAGCTCCCACTCAATAAAAAATATAAAGATGTCTGGTGCCTGAAGAGCTTGAGCTCTCACTCATCCCCCCCCCCCCATCCCGCACACACATGAACCCCCCATCCCGCACACACATGAACCCCCCATCCCGCACACACACACATGAACCCCCCATCCCGCACACACACACATGAACCCCCCATCCTGCACACACACACACACACACACACACACATACACACACACACACACACACACACACACACACACACACACACACACACACACACACACACACATACACACACACACACCTGTGGCCCTTACTGGCGAATACTGTTCCCCTCCTCCTCCTCCTCCTCTCCCTTCCACCACCCCCCCCCCCCGCATTCATCATCTGAAGAAAGAGTACATACTCGATAATTTCTTCCCCATCTAAGCTGCATAAAGCGAAGTGAATTATTTGTTTGTGCCATTGTGAATCATCGGATAACCTATCCTCCTTTTTTTTTGGTGTTGAATTTTCACGATGGAACCATCGCCAATAACGTGAGATTTGTTGTTGTCGTTGTAGTCGGTGTTGTCGTCGTCGTCGTCGTCGCCATTGTCGTTGTTCACTAGCCCAGGCATCATAGAGCCAAGAGAATATAGCCTTTGTTGAATGAGCGCCGATGAAATGCCGCATTGCTCGTCTCAGCGCCAACAATACACGGCGCTATTGATTTCAACGCTAAATATATGTACAAGAAATGCATGATTTGGAAGATTGTACATCCTGTAAACAGTAAAGTTTGCGTAAGAGGTAGATAAACCTCTCGCGTGACCAGTGAAATGACGCAGATAGAGATGCTTCCGCTAGCAGCGTTGACGCAGCCAAGGCATCTACAGGCAGGGAGCACTACAATACCAAGCATCGTACAGTGTGTAGTGTACTACTCCCTCTCTACAGGTACCAGTGCGTGTATTTCGTGGAGTTGCCCGGCGGCGGCGGCAGAGTAGATTTGGGGAATTGGTTTGGGCGTTATCGTTGCTTTTTCTTTCATCATTTTAAATGATTCAGATCCTCTGGAAGCCCTCTTCTCTCTTTGGAGCATGACAATGTTCGGCTTGTCCACGAGGGATACGAATGTACTCCAAACGTTCACTTTGCCTTCTACGCAGCAAGTCTCCTCCATGCATCAACAAAACAAAGTTCAAACTCGAGTGTGCTTGGGCTTGGGGTAGCAGTAGGCACCAAGGCTGGCTGTATTCTTGCTTTCCACGAGACCTTTTCAGAACTACAGGACTGCACTGTAATGAATTCCATGATTCTAGGACTCAAAGATTTGAATTCAAGATCACCTTTTTTTAGTGCCCCTTGGTCATATACGTACGCTCTACTTGGCAACGAAAGAATCAGAGCTGACATCAACTGCCGTTGAAATGAGCAAGGCAACAAAGGCGGTGATATTTGTGCCTGGCGTCCAGCTTTGATTGGAAGCACTTGCGTTCTTTCCGGTGTCGAGGATAAGCCCTTTGGTATGGAATAGCCAAGCGACAAGCGACACTGCTGTGGAAAGGGAGTGTTGATGGTGTGAGCGCTAGCGTGGCTCACGAACAGCATGATGCCGTCCGCGAACATGAGGGTATGTACCGGGTCAGCTACTGATGCGACACATCTCGTGCAGTGTGTGTGTGTGTGTGTGTGTGTGTGTGTGTGTGTGTGTGTCACGTGTGTGTGTGTGTGTGTGTGTGTGTGTGTGTGTGTGCGTGCGTGTTCGTGTGCATGTGTGCTTGTGTGTATGTGTGTGTGTGTGTGTGTGTGTGTGTGTGTGTGTGAGTGCTACTTCTGAGGAGGAGTTCACACACAACACCAGGGCATTACAGTCTGAATAAGTGGCTAGAAGACATCTTCCTTCGAAATATGGTGTAGTAATCTTGCGGAGTGTCAAAAGCTACCCATTCAACACTCAAGCTACTTTTGATTAGGAGAGAAAATTTCCTTCCATTCGTCCAGATAATAAATTACAACCGACCCCAAACTTCAGCGTCCAGCCTTCCTATCTCGCTGTACACAATCAGCGGGCGCGAAGAAACTGCTCAGTTGCACCAACAGTGCGGTGGAATGGGGTGGGGGGGGGGGGGGGGGAGGAGAGGAGATTGAGCGCGAGCAGGTGCCGCCAAAATACACCAGGGCCAACGTACACAAAGCGGGAGGCCAGGGGAAAATATCGTACAAAGCAAGTCCATCAGTCTGGGTCAGCGTATGCTAGGCGGGAAGTCAGTGCGTGCACCGGAGGGGGCAAAATAGCGTACAACTCTAAGCAAACCGGAGCAACTGCCGACCAGCCAAAAGGATGTATCGGCTGATACGCACATGAACTGAATTGTGCCATCGTACTTCGTGAGTTCACGACACTCCCGCCAGAAAAAATGAAAGCAGAAGGAATTTAATAGAGCAATGAAATTACAGTAATTAACTGTGCCCTCACGGCATACGATTACAGTGGATAAATTAGGTGAAAGAATTTTAAAAGTTCTTCAAATTTGGTTTTCTGTCGAAGGGGCGACATGCAATGGGAGGATTTAGCGGAGGGTTTGTTTATGATTGATTATGTATTGTAGCTGGAAATATCTAGGGTACCCCGTAAGAAGACCTTGAGTCTGTGGGGATTGCCCTATAAAAATATGAATAAATAATAATAATAATAAATATGATGGCATGTCTTACAAATGACTAAATATCCAATAGACAAGCCAGGATTCCGTCTGTTGCTTGGGCTGCAGCCGCCCTGCGTGGTCTTGCTCTCGGCTCGGCTGTTGCTGTGGGTGGGGCGTCGGTTGTCGACGGCGGAGCTGCTGCTGCTGCTGCTGCTGCAGGGAGTTCGTCATCCATCACCGGTGGGGCTTCGGCCGGAAGCTCTTCGGCTATCGACGGTGGAGCTACTTCGAGGGGGTAGAGGCAGCTCAGCGGACGTGAAACGGTTGTTCCCGCAGCTGTGATGACACGCGCTGCCCTAACCTTTCCATCTGTCTCGCTGCGAATCAGTTGCGTGATCTTGCCCAGTCTCCAAGATCCCCTTGGCACGCGCTCATCTTTGATCAGAACAACTGAGTGCACTGTTGGCTCAAAGATGGACTTCCGAGATTGGCAATGCCCGGTGTCGGACCGGAGGATTGGCAAGTACTCCTTCTCCCATATGGTCCAGAACGTATCCAGACTTGCCAACTGACACTGCCACGTGTGTAGCATCTCTCTGGCTGGATCTCGGTGTGGTGCAAAGTCGATGTCCTCCAGTGTCGCAGAGGGGATTGGAATACCAAGGCTGCGTCCGTTGGCAATGAAGTGGGCTGGCGTAAGTACCACTCCATCCAGGCTGTCTTCCCCACCCGGGACGTAGGTTAGAGGGCGCGTGTTGACGATAGCCTCCACCTCTGCCAACATTGTTGTAAGTTTGCCCTGTGTGAGCAGCCTTCTGCCAATTGTCTTCCTCACGCAGCGCTTCACTACTCCAATAAGCCGTTCGTATACGCCACCCTGCCAAGGTGCGCATTCCGTCGTGAATCTCCATTGTACTTGCCGACTGGAGAGGTATTGCTGCAAAGACTCGTCTTTCAGGACCTCGCGCCATCCGATGTCAAAGGTGGTGGCAGCCAACCTCTCCAGTCGGCAAGTACAATAAGCCGTTCGTATACGCCACCCTGCCAAGGTGCGCATTCCGTCGTGAATCTCCATTGTACTTGCCGACTGGAGAGGTATTGCTGCAAAGACTCGTCTTTCAGGACCTCGCGCCATCCGATGTCAAAGGTGGTGGCAGCCAACCGAAACTGAGATGCATTGTCCGAAAGGAGCAGTTCGGGCACCCCCCGACGCGCTGCAAACCGTGTGAAGCAGTCAATGAAGCTAGCGGTGCTCAGCGATGGGATGACTTCAAGGTGGACTGCTCGTACAGCCAGGCATGTAAACAGGCACACCCACACCTTGGAGGGTTCGTCTTTGACTTGAACAGGGCCAAAGTAGTCAATGCCGACATACGTGAACGGGGCCGAACGAATCACTCTTTCTTTTGGAAAGGGAGGCATTGTCGGTAGAGCGAAAGCTGGACCTTCGTGTCGTCTGCATACTCGACATTGCTTCAGCACAACCTGAACCTCCTGTCGGCCTTGCGGTATCCAGACGGTGGCTCGCAATTGCGTTAGCGTGTGTGCCGCACCAGCGTGGAGAAGGCGCTCATGGTGATGCAGAATGACAAGCTTCGTAAACCAATGCCGGCGAGGAAGGAGCGCTGGTGGCAGGTTGTCGATGCCCTTGCTGGCGTGGATCAATCGACCCTGACATCGCAAGATTCCATTGATGTCGACGACTAGACCAAGCTGGTTCTGGAGCGTGTTCCTCTTGTTGTTAGCGATATCCAGTAAAGTACAGCGATACGTGGTAGCCTGAATTGATCGAACCCACATGACATTAGCAAGGCGCAAGTCCATTGCCGTAGCACTTGGTCTGTCCGACATACGCTCGAACAGGTTGGAGAACCAGACGTGTCGTGACGCCACAGCTGCTTTTGTAGCCGTGCTCAGTCTGTCCCACACTTGTTTCTTGAGAAACTTTATGCACAGCGTGGTCACTCGTAACAGCTTGCGGAGGCTGGAGCAATTCGCTCCCCCCTCCAGTTCACTGTACGCTGGCGCCGCTGCAGCTTCCGTTGCTGTTGCTACAGTTGTGTCAGATGCTGCGAGTGCTGGCAGAGAAGGAACGTTCCATGTTGGCCATTCGCTCGGGTCCAACAGCAGCCACTGTGGACCATTCCACCAGAGGGTGTTGTGCGCCAGTTCATCCGCCGAGCAGCCACGTGATGGAATGTCGGCAGGGTTCTCACTCGTGTGGACGTAACGAAAGGATGCATCAGCTGTCTTGATCTCATCCACACGGTTAGCAACGAAGCGAGGTAGGGGCTTTGACGTTTTCAGCCAGTAAAGGACGCATGCCGAGTCTGTCCAAATGCATGACGCGGTGATCGGGATTCCGAGTTGTGCTTTCACATACTTCAAAGCCCTTGCTCCAATCAGTACACCAAGAAGTTCCAGCCGCGGTAGTGACACAGTCTTTGGCGTCTCTCCTTTGGCTCTGGTCTCCTTAGGTGCGAGTCTGGTCTTGCTAAATACCAGGCGGCAGGTGGTGCCAGCAGGTGTAGACAGTCGCAAGTAGACCGCGGTTGCATAGCATTTAGCAGAAGCATCTGAGAAGACGACCAGCGAGTATAACCCATTATCACCGCTGCTTCCTACCAATCTTGGGATGTTAATCTCGCTAACTGTCAATAACGATTGCAGGATGACATTCCATTCTCGTAGAAGTTCATCTGGCAGCAGTTTGTCCCAATTGTGCCCTTCCATCCACAGCCGTTGTACAAATATCTTGCCTTGGATAGTAATAGGAGATACGAGTCCCAGGGGATCGTACACAGCTGCTACTGTCTGGAGTACAGTCCGTTTGGTTACCGGAGAGTCATCTGGCTTGGGGCCGACGATGCTGAGCGTATCCGCAGCGACTTTCCATTTCAAGCCAAGCATTGATTGCGAGCCGCTCAAGTTTTGAGGTTGCTCGGGTAGGCGTTCGTTGACTTCAGATGAGCTGGATACCCACTCACGTAGATTCATGTTGGCCTCGCTGAACAGTTTCCTGGATTCGTGATAAAGAAGCATGGCCTCTTCAACGCTGTTGCAGCCGAGTACTACATTGTCAACATAGATATTCTTCAAGATGGCAAGTGCAGTGTCGGATGCTGCTGCTTTCAGGTGGTATTCAATGGTGGCTGCTAGTAGGAAGGGACTACTGATCAGACCAAACGGTACTCTGCAGAACCGTAGTATCCTGACGTTGTCTGGAGTAAGAGGCCTGGTTGGATCCTTGTACCAGAAGAATCGTAGCACGTCCCGATCTTCTGGGTGGATTAGGATCTGGAGGAAGGCCTTTTCAATGTCGGCCAAGAGGACAATCGGGTAGATCCTGAACCTCATCATGAGAGCACAGATGTGCGGGAGGAGTACCGGTCCTCGAAACAGGCATTCATTCAATGACATTTCCTTCTGGGTAGACTTAGCCGACCCGTCGTAGACTACTCTCACTTTGGTTGTAGCCTTTGTGGGCGTGATGACTGGGTGATGCGGCAGATGATGTGTCAACGCTGACGTTTGCACCGGGGCATCTTCGATTATCCCTGTATTCAGCTGGTGTTGTATGACAGTATCATACTGATGAAGTAGTTCGGGGGATGATTCAAGGCGCCGAGACAATGTCTTCATCCTGCCCATAGCCAGACCATAGTTCGACGGGAGGTTGCTATTGTTATCCTTCCAGGGAAGGGTGACCTGATATCGTCCATCAATGATTTGAACGGTGCTATTGAACCTTTGAAGGGCGAGGTCGTCGTCGGAAATAGTCGGATTGTCCACAATGCCAATGACGTCCAGTTTCCACATGGTGTCCACGTCCTGGTATGTCTGAGCTGTTGCAGTCATGGCAGTCACTGCAGTCATTGCTGTGATTTCCGAAGTCCCGTTCTTGTGACTGCCTTTACCAGATACGACCATTCCAAGCTCAGACGAGATGGTGAAGAGCCCCGAAGGAAGTTGAAGTCGGTGGCCCGTTACCACATGCCAAAAGTAGTCAGAGCCTATTAGGATGTCGACCACTAACGAAGTGTTGGACGAAGCCATTAATTCTGCATCCGCAAGAGGGCTGCCATTCATTTGCTCTTGCAGAAACGACCTGTCCGTAGATGTCAGTGGTTCTCGAGTAATGGCATTCGTAATTTCATCGTCAATGATATTGGCAGTTACATTCAGAATACGGTCTCCGAGGAGGGGCAGTGGAAGACAGACTACTTCCGAGTTGATGGTCTTGACAGCATTGCTTGCAAAGGTCGAAAGAGCCAGTTCCTCTGTTCTCAAGACTTCCAGTTGAAGATGTTGTGCTAATCGCCTCGTAACATACGATCTGTGGCTCCCAGAGTCAAGCAGGAGATGGGCTGTAACCTTTGGCTTGCCGGGTGAGTGAAATGAAACATTTGCTGATGGTAATTGGACTGCCTCCGTGATTGATAGCAGGGTGTTCACTTTAGACGGTTGCGGGCCATGGCCTTCATCCCGCTCTGGACAAACAGTCCAGTGGTGGTGACCCTGTCTGTGGCAGCCGTTGCATTTATGCCACGTTCTCTGGGGACATTGTGGCACTCGGTGATTGAGTTGCAAGCAGAGGTAGCACCGACCTTGAGCTGTCAGCCGTTGTTTCCTTGTCACTGTTGTGCGATATGTTTGACAGTCGTTGTGCTTGTGATCACCTCCACAGAATGCACAAGGTGACAACTTGAAATATGTAGGTTCGGTATACTTGTTCATCACTTGTGTTGCTGCAGGGGGTTGTGTGCCGGGTCGTACATTGCCATGAGGATGTCCATTGGCAACAAGGGAAGTACCAGCGTCCGAATTGGTTGTAAGTGTGCTGGTTTGTTTCACTTCTTGACCTTGTGTTTGTTGTACCAGAATCGTAGGCAATTGACCAGACTGAACCTGGGCAGTTCTCAGTGCATTAGTACGAATATCCACAAATTGCCTCAGTGCCGTTCTCAACAGTGATACCGTCCATGGAGTATTCAGAGAGAACCGTGTTTCTTCCAGTTTAGTTGTGACTGCCAATGGAAACTTTGCAAGAATCTGGTGGATGAGAAGACGTTGGCTATCCACATCCTCGCCCAGTGTAGAGAGCTGTCGAAGAATCTTGTCAATGGAGTCGAATGTTGATTTGATGCTCTCAAAGTTGTGGCCAGCCTCCGGAAGTTGTTGAAGTCGGGCATACAATCCACCGATTATTAACTGAGGTTGTCCAAACTTCGTCTTAAGAGTCTCGACTGCCAAGTGATAGTTGGATTCAGTTAATGCTATGCCAGCAATTGCATCTCTGGCTTCCCCTTTCAGGCTGTCATTCAAGTACACGAATTTGGACACAATGGATAATGTGGGGTGTTCGTGCACTGTCGACGTGAACAGGGACCAGAATTCGGGCCACTCCAATACAGATCCTGAAAATTGTGGGATTTTCAGATGCGGCAGTCGGACACAAGGTGCAGCAGATTGTTGGAAATGGTTGGAATTCGCTGATGGTGCCGCAATGTTTGATTGTGCGAGGACAGCAGCACGTGCCGCTTGTATTGCCGCAGCCGTTACCGCCTCCTCAAATCTGTTTGTCGGATTGTTGATACCATTGCCCCTGACATCAGCCACTGTTGGATTACAGCCATTAGTTGTTGAGGTGTTTGGGTGCTGATGGTTGGTGTTGACCATGTGTGTACTGTGTATCAGTGGTTGTGTGTGCGGAGTGGTGCGTGACTGGGCATTCATGAGAGTGTCGGCCTGTTGCAGTTCAGGATGGATGGTGTGGTGTGATGGTGGTGAAGCTGTGTTGTTGCTTTGTATATGTACTTGTGTGGATGTTGCAGGGAAGTGTGAACCATGCATGCTGTCAGACTGAGAAGTAGTCAGTTCAACGTGTGGTTGGTGTGATATAAGGTGCCGTGTAGTATGTGAGGTGGGTAGGTCATGTTGTTGAGATGTGTGTGTGGTATCTGGTTGTTGTGGATGTAGGAGTTGTTGATTTCCCATTGACCCATTCATTTGTTGCATCTGCTTGGGGAGAAAGCCCTTCCCCTCAGACAATGATTGAGGAGAATCCATTGCTGCCATTTGCCTGTGATTTTCAAACAGGTTTGTAAGTGACCGAACATTTTGCTGCTTCGTCACCCAATCCACTACACTTCTAGCTTTGTCGGCACTACCAATCTCGCTAGCAAGTGAACTTCGTTCTACTGCTTCCTCCAGCTGAGCCTCCCGTTCCTCGATTATCATGCATTCTCTGTCAAATCTTTCTGACCATTGGTCGAGAGTATCTAGTGCCTCCTCGTCGAACTGAGACTCGACGATCATTCTCTCATTTTCTAAAAAAGCGTTAATGCTGTCTCTTAGTGCACGAATATCCTCAATGTCAACAGCCAGCTGGGCTCGATTAGAACTTCGCACAACCGTGCCCTGCAACCTCTTTGCAATCCTATCGAATCTGCGATAGGCTATGGATCTGGAGCGCCGTGCTGCTTCTACCGCATCCATTCTAGTACATGTAACTACTAAATATGAGCTACGTGACTATATGTACTACAGAGTTTACGTTTACGACATAGCCATGACCTCCAATGCGTACAGTGGTAGAGCAGAATAATTATACTACGTATGACAACCCAAAGAAGCAACAACCGTACCGATTAGTAAGGAAGAATTGACGATTGTTGAAGTGCTCCAAGACAGAAACGGGTAGGAGAGTTGTAATTATATTAATTAGATCAGGCCAATTGTCGTACCGTGATGCGCAGGTAATGGTAGAAAGAGATATCAAATCCAAGCCAAGTAACCGCTAAGGTTGATAGTTAGTTTAGATTCCTTTGTGCCAAGTAATCCAAGTTGATATCCAAGTACAGTAAAATTCCAGATTCCCGTGTGCCAAGTAATCCAAGTTGATATCCAAGTACAGTAAAATTCCAGATTCCCGTGTGCCAAGTAATCCAAGTTGATAACCAAGTACAGTAAAATTCCAGATTTCCGTGTGCCAAGTGATCCGAGTTGATATCCAAGTAAATAATTCCGCAATGCCCACTACTACCGGTCGAATTCTTTCCAATCAATACTACAAACAAACTAACAAGCGTTACGCGGGCGATCTCTACTCCGCTGTAACTGTATCCGGAATCCTGGTCACAGCACCATGTCAAAAGCTACCCATTCAACACTCAAGCTACTTTTGATTAGGAGAGAAAATTTCCTTCCATTCGTCCAGATAATAAATTACAACCGACCCCAAACTTCAGCGTCCAGCCTTCCTATCTCGCTGTACACAATCAGCGGGCGCGAAGAAACTGCTCAGTTGCACCAACAGTGCGGTGGAATGGGGTGGGGGGGGGGGGGGGGAGGAGAGGAGATTGAGCGCGAGCAGGTGCCGCCAAAATACACCAGGGCCAACGTACACAAAGCGGGAGGCCAGGGGAAAATATCGTACAAAGCAAGTCCATCAGTCTGGGTCAGCGTATGCTAGGCGGGAAGTCAGTGCGTGCACCGGAGGGGGCAAAATAGCGTACAACTCTAAGCAAACCGGAGCAACTGCCGACCAGCCAAAAGGATGTATCGGCTGATACGCACATGAACTGAATTGTGCCATCGTACTTCGTGAGTTCACGACACGGAGGCAGTCCAGCAAAGCACAATGAAAATAACGACAGACTTGCACACTGAACTTACCATTTCTGTAAATTTGATATTTACCAAGAAGGGTGTTTTCTGAGTTTGCTGTAAAAGGAAAACGAAATCGAGAATTTCAACTATGAACATGATCATCACTATAGTCATCAAAATGATTTTACGAATATATAAGCATTTTCCTGACGGCCGATTGCTTTTAATAAAGCAATCTGCCGTCAAGAAAATGCTTATATCTTGGAAAGTGGTACAGACTGTGGAGCAGACTTGATCTTGCTCGATTCACTCAGCGAACCCCAGAAAATACCCTCTTTTAAGGTGCCAGAAATTCACCAGCAGCAAGCGCCGAAAAACTGCTGGGGTTACACAGCCTTGTGCATGTTGTGTAGGTTTTCGTAGATGGGTAACATGTCACAAGTAATCCTGAGATTGGAGTATTACTGCTATGTTATGCAGCCATTGCTCCATTATGCCTGTTCAGAGACAATCATCCACTATATCAGCTCGACGCTTGAATCCATTGTATTATGCATGTATTTATAATAAACATATTACAACAAGGACAATCAGGGCTTGTTTGCTGCGACTTCAAGTTTCATGCTCTCGCAATCATGCTATTGCCTGATGATTGCGAGAGCATGAAACTTGAAGTCGCAGCAAGCAAGCCTTGATTGTCCTTGTTGTTCGGTTCTGTATTACCCTCTGCCTCCGCGGTGTTGAGCACTGTAAGCACACTAGGTACACCCTCCGGTAATATTATTATAATAGGATGTACGATGCTTTTCTAGTTGTTTGGAAACTCCAACGCAGCCACTTACACATTTAGCGAACTTCATTTCTCTGCAAAACTCCAAAACGGTCTGTTCACTGCGAATAAAATTAAAATTTACCTGTTTACATTATAGGATGGCAATAAACAGAATCAGCTTGCTGCAAACCACCAGTTCTCAAGTGGGAAAGGCCTTCGCGCTTATGGCATTGTATTCGTTGCAATGTTGTATTTCGACTCCGCCGTACCGCTGATGTTGCTGCATGGCATACGCTATATGCGCTGTGTGCGTTTTTACTGTATACGCTGTTATGTCCCGTTTTATATGCGTATGTTTTGCATGTACGCTGTTTTGCACGCTATAAATAGCTGGTGTTATTAGTGTTCATTGTTAATTATTCGATGAAGTGAAATATACTGTGTAAAGGAAAAGAGTTTTCCTCGTGCCGTGTGGTCGTACGATCCTGACAATTTAGAGAATCTTAGAGGGTTCACAACATTTGGCGACCACGCCAGGATCCTGGCGTGGTCGCCAAATGTTGTGAACCCTCTGGTTCTCTAAAGTGTCAGGAACGAATGACCCCACACGGCACGAGGACAACTATTTATTCTTTTATTCTCAACAGTATATTTCTTTTCCATCGACTAACTTCAACTCACAAGTCAAACGATTTGGGGCTTACTACGCGTCATCTGCTGCTGCGGTGGTGGCCATGGTAGAATATCACTAATGCCCACAACTTCGGCCAACTCGATTTCGCGAAGCTTGCCGCTGTGGGCTGTCGCACACGACACTGTCACCGATCCACTTCGACATGGGGCGGACGCTGGACCAGACAACACACAACCGATTCACCAAGCTCGCAGATGTGGGCTGTCACACACGACAAGGTCACAGGTACAATGCTTCGACCCAGGGCGGGCGCGGAACTTGAGGACACAAATCGGATCTCTGTGTTCCACACAGTCTCGCCGCTTACTTCTTCCGTGCTAACCAGTATTGTATTTTGTATTTTATTATATTTAAGGATTTCCCAAAGGCTTTGGGCCTGTCGAGGGGATCTCCTGCAAGAAGAATGAAATGAAAACTTTATGAAGAGGGAGCAGTTAATCGAGGATAGGCTAAGGAAATAGATCGAGGCATACAAAAATCTGGTAATTGAGGAGTTGGGATACCGTCAGTGTAATGAATATATCGGCGAAAATGCTATGTATCGCCCTTCTCATTTCCTCAGCTTCTACGCCTTGCGCTTCTAAGTCTTGCACTTCTACGTCTTGCGCTTCTACGTCTTGCGCTTCTACGTCTTGCGCTTCTACGTCTTGCGCTTCTACGTCTTGCGCTTCTACGTCATGCGCTTCTACGTCTTGAGCCTCTACGTCTTGAGCCTCTACGTCTTGCGCCTCTACATCTTGCACCTCTACGTCGCTCGGCCGAGACTCCAGCTGCTTCTGAGCGTCTCCGAACGATGTCGCCATGCACTGCACCGACGCAGTGGGCCTTGGCTTCGAATACTCCTCTGACCGCTGCTTGTCTGTAAGCAAAGTCTACCACGCCTTGTCCGGCGTCCTTTCGCGTGAGGCAAGCAAATCTCGCTCCGCTCCCTCATATTTACTGCTGGCGATGCGCTCGTTCATCTTCTTGAGCTTTCCATCAAACTCTGTGCGGAGCGCACCCTCTTGCCGTCTAGCACTGCGCTCTTCAAACTCCTCGCTCTGTCGGAGCCCCTTCTCCACGTATTCTCTCAACCTATCGCCTTCAAATCCATACCGAATTCCGCTAGCGATAAAGCTGGCTTCAATGATCCATAGTTCCTGTGCCATGCTCGCTTCGTATCCTGGCGTGGTCGCCAAATGTTGTGAACCCTCTGGTTCTCTAAAGTGTCAGGAACGAACGACCACACGGCACGAGGACAACTATTTCTCTCACAGTATATTTCACTTCCATCCACTAATAATAATGAACAATGAAAGAATGAATAACTAACACTAAAACCACCAGGTAGTTATAGCGTGAAAATGACAGCGTATATGAGAAAAGCATACACATGCAACATACAACTACAGCGCACACAGCGCACACAGCAAACCGCACATAGCGCATGTAGCGTATAATTATTTTTTTTTTTTTTACGGTTCGCGTGAGACTCGGCTGGAAGCCGAGTTTCCGCATCCGCCGTGGGAAGGCCACCACCCTCTAGGATCAAAGGCGCAGATGCAGCGCCTAAACGGCGGGAGGTGAGTAGATCACACCCACCACCAAGTGGTCAAAGACCGAAATCCCATGTAGCGTATACTACGTCGTAATCATCAGCGGTACGGCGGAGTCAGGATACAATTGCATTGAAACGAACACAATGTCACAAGCGAGAAGGCCTTTCACTCTCGAGAACTTGTGGTTTCACAACAACCTCCAAACTGGATGTCAGGGACAGCAGGGTTTATTGAGATTTCACAAACAAATTCTAGAGAAAGTGGTGATGGGCAAAGAATTAATTTTGATGGAAATGTAACGTGAAGAACAATAATAGGAAAGATGAAAAATATAAAAATGCATCGAACAAGAGAAAAGGACATATGGATACGAGTTAAGAGTAACTCTCCATCACTGTAACATGATACTATATACAGTCAGAAAGTGCAATAACTAGGCACAAAACTGACAGAGTACTGAAACATTCGACGTCCTGACACCTAGCTTCAACACATCTCCGTAGCGCTAACCGACAGCCTTCCAACTTGGAAGGTTCAAGGTTATGGAAAAGACCAAAGAGGGGAAGGCAAGCGCAACGAAAACGAGCAAAAGCTACAGTCCCAACGGAACAAAGAATGTCGATTGTTACTGGACGATGACGAGACCAGTACGATATTTGACAAAGCGGTCTAACTACAATTCGAAGCAGCAAAGCAGCACACCACCCAACTTGGGTGGGTCATAAATATCAAAGATAAGTAAAGAAAGGGAAGCTTTGCGAAAACGAATTGTACAAGCCGAAAGCCAAACTCCTACAGTACTCCTCATGCATGACATTGTGATGGACTAGTTGACTACAAAACAAGTTGTTTCACACGACGTACGTTTCGCCGTATGGATCGTGACGGCTCATCAGGTGTGCAATTTGAAACAACGTGTGAAACAACTTGTTTTGTAGTCAACTAGTCCATCACAATGTCATGCATGAGGAGTACTGTAGGAGTTTGGCTTTCGGCTTGTACAATTCGTTTTCGCAAAGCTTCCCTTTCTTTACTTATCTTTGATATTTATGACCCACCCAAGTTGGGTGGTGTGCTGCTTTGCTGCTTCGAATTGTAGTTAGACCGCTTTGTCAAATATCGTACTGGTCTCGTCATCGTCCAGTAACAATCGACATTCTTTGTTCCGTTGGGACTGTAGCTTTTGCTCGTTTTCGTTGCGCTTGCCTTCCCCTCTTTGGTCTTTTCCATAACCTTGAACCTTCCAAGTTGGAAGGCTGTCGGTTAGCGCTACGGAGATGTGTTGAAGCTAGGTGTCAGGACGTCGAATGTTTCAGTACTCTGTCAGTTTTGTGCCTAGTTATTGCACTTTCTGACTGTATATAGTATCATGTTACAGTGATGGAGAGTTACTCTTAACTCGTATCCATATGTCCTTTTCTCTTCCACATTTATTTATGGCTCAACATCCGAGTTTCAAATTGCATCGAACAAGGTTTCGCAAATCGCTCATCAGGAACCATCGTTGTAATAATTAACAAATTGCCACACAAACTACTATATTAAAAGGATCAGCAGTGATAAATAACACCTAAACAATGCCATATAAGTATCACAAGGTATTCCTGCATGATACCATGTACATGTACATTGTACATACACTGTACAATCATACAAATAACAGTTTCACACCTTGTCCAGAAGCCTCCAGCCACAGTCTCTATTCACAGACGGACGCCTATCACGAATAAGCATAGCTTCATGGATACAACGATTGACAGGGGATGACAGGTAGGGTCCGGCGGATTATGCTCACGAAATCATGGAATTATGCTTTCATGGATTCTCGCATTAAAGTTCGGAAAATTGTGCCTTTTCGTACTTGCAAGTGCCCCAGCATGAGTACAACAAAATGTTACATGAGTATCCCCATACCAAGGTGCCCATGCATGCTAGAGATCAACATGGAAAAGAGAAAACATTACATGTACTTCTTCTATTCATTTGTTTACCACTTTTGTAAAAAGATTTTTTCATTGCTAAAAAGATAATTAGTTTGAGTTACCTTTGAAAATTATCATGTTCACTGAACCGTCTTCGTAATCCGACGGTCATACTCGTGCAACCGATG